CAACATACAGACAGCAACCAATGCTGAACTACATCTGGAGGGCACACACAGCCCACATAAGGGACCTGGCTCAAGTGACCAGAGAAGACTGCCACTGGGCCTCACAGGACACTACTACATAAAGCCACTCTATTAAGACCGGGAGACTTAGGAGCCCTACCTAATACATAGAAACGAATACAGGGAGGCAACCAAAATGAGGAGACAAACATGTTCCACATGAAAGAACGGAACAAAGCTCCAGAAAAAGAACTAAACAGAAGGGAGACAAGCAATCTACCAGATGTAGAGTTTAAAACACTGGTTATAAGGATGCTCAGTGAACTTAAAGGAAGAGTAGATGAACTCAGAACTTTAACAAGGAGATAGAAAACATAAAAATGGAGATAGAAAACAAAAAAGAACCACTCAGAAATGAAGAATTTAAGAACTGAAATGAAGACTACATTAGAGGGTATCAACAGATTAGATGAAGCAGAGGATTGAATTTGTGATTTAGGTAAGGTAGCAGAAAACACCCAATAGGAACAGCAACAAGAAAAATTCCAAAAAATATGATAGTTCAAGGGGCTTCTGGTACAACATCAAACATAGAATCATTCACATCAGGGATATCAGAAGGAAAAGAGAGCAAGAAATTGAAAACCTATTTGAAGAAATGACAGAAAACTTTCCTAACCTGGTTAAGGAAATAGACATATAACTCCAGGAAGTTCAGAGAGTCTCAAACATGTTGAACCCAAAGAGGCCCACACTAAGACATGTCATAATTAAAATGCCAAAGGTTAAAGACAGAATCTTAAAGGCAGCAATAGAAAAGCAATTAGTTACCTACAAGGGAGCACCCATAAGACTATAAGCTGATTTCTCAACAGAAACTTTGCAGGCCAGAAGAGATCAGCATGAAATAAAGTGACAAAAAGCAAGGACCTACAACCAAGGTTACTCTACCCAGCAAAGCTATCATTTAGAATCAAAAGGCAGATAAAGAGCTTCCCAGACAAGAAGAAGCTAAAGGAGTTCATTACCACCAAGCCAGTATTATAGGACATGTTGGAGAGACTTATTTAATAAGAAGAAAAAAGTCTATCAAAAATATGAATGATAAAATGGCAATAACTACATATCAACAATTACTTCAAATGAAAAAGAATTAAATGCTCCAATCAAAAGATGGGATTGCTAAATGGATAAGAAAATAAGACCATTACATATTCTGCCTATAAGAGGTTCATTTCAGATCAAAAGACACACAGACTGAAAGTAAGAGATGGAAAAAGATACTTCATGAAAATGAAAAAAGAAACTGGGTAGCAATACTTACACCAGAGAAAATAGGCTTTAAGGCAAAGGCTGTAACAACAAAGAAGGTCCCAGTAATCCCACTTCTAGGTAATTATCTGAAGAAACACGAAATATTATTTTGAAGGAACATGTGCATCCATATATTCATTGCAGCATTATTTACAATAACCAGGATATAGAGGCAACCTGGGTGTCCCATCAGTGGATGAATGGATAAAGAAGAGATGGTACACATATACAATGGAATATTACTCAGCCATAAAAATAAAAGAATGAAATCTTGCCATCTGCAACAACATGGATGGACCTAGAGGGTATTTTGCTGAGTGGAGTAAGTCATACAGAGAAAGACAAATGCTATATGATTTCACTTACATGTGAAATCTACGGAACAAAAATAAAACAAACTCATAGATACAGAGAACATTTTGAGGGTTGCCAGATGGGAGGGGATTTTGTTGGGTGGGTAAAAAGGGGGAAGAGATTAAGAAGTACAAATTGGCAGTTATAGAATAGTCACGGAGATGTAAAATGTAGTATAAGGAATGTAGTCAGTAATAATTTAATAACTAAAGTGTCAGATGGGTACTAGATTTATTGGGATGATCATTTCATAAGTTATAATTTATATAGACAGTTATCTAATCACGCTGTTGTACACCTGAAATGAATATAATATTGTATGATAACAATAATTGAAAAAAAACTTGAAAAGGGAAAAGTATATACCACAATTTAATGTAATTTTGATAGTCTTATGAAATAAAATCTGATTATTGGTTCTGCCCTAAAGTTGAAAGTTAAAGACTGTTCCGGAGTAAAACTAAGGCCTAATACAAAGTCACCTAGGCCAAGTTTTCTCTGGATCCTGGAGCCCATCCTAGCACGCTGGTTTTGTAAATGTGCAGGGAAGGGCAGGCCTACTGCTTGGGATCTAGGACTGGCACCAACATCTTGGTGCCCAAGACTTAGTTTCTAGCATAGTGGCTACAAATTCCTGATGATTGTGATAGCCCTGATTGCACCCATGTTATAACGTTATAGCTCACTGTCCATATGGTGAGCCTGAGAGACTTGATTCATACAATGTAATATAGTGTAAATAAGGGAAGGGAAGTAGGGAAACAGTATGAATCATAACAGTGATTAAATCAGGAAGAATATAGGTTAAGGCACTTCTGTTTTACTTTTCCCTCTACGATATATTTTTCTTACCTGAAAATTAAAATTTCTCTCCCAACAAGTTTTTGGTAATACCATTTTAATGTCAACAAAACCACTTTGTTTAATTTTTAGGTATTTGGCTTCATTACCTTCTCATGTACTGAAAAATGACCACGTTAAGAAATTTTTCAGCACTTCGTCTCCCACCCAACAGCTTCAAAGTCCAAGTGAGTTTGTAAAATGTGATTAAAGAAAAATAAAAACATTTTTATTGTCTGTAAATTTTATAATTATCTTAATTTACAGGTCCTGGCAACCCTTCCCTTTCTAAAGTCGGTACCATGATGGGTGTGTCTGGAAGGTGAGACTTCTACCATGAAACCCACACATTTCAAATCAGCATTGTTACAGAGGTTACTTTTGGTTATATATAAATAATTGTGTCTAGAGTTAAGTTGTTCTTGATCTTAGTCTTGAGTTGTTCTTGATCTTAGTCTTGAACAATGTTGAGAGAAGAATTGGATAGAGATAATCCAATTTAAGGTTTCTAAAGCAAAAAGGTTCTCTGAGCCACTGGAATTGGAATTCTCAAGGACCCCTATTCCAAATGCCAGTTTCTGGGCCCTAAACATTCTAGGAAACCAGAATTTCTGAGAATCTTCATTTTTATAAGCTCCCAGTGAGCCAGAATGCCCATGAGGTGCCAGAGTGCTGCTCTAGGTGCCCTCTGTCCTCACAAGGCCCAGTGACGATTGTAGGAGTGCTCACATGACAAATAGGCTGCCTTTCTGACTGACAGCTGATGTTGAAATGGGTTAACATCACAGAGAGCATACACGTGCGCATGTTGGGTAAAGACCTAGTCAGGTTATGAGGTCTTTGAAAGCGCTGGCTTTCTTCTTTACCCTTTGGTCTGGTATGTAGTGAGCACAAAGTAAACATATGCAGGTTTGGAGTTTAGGGTGGAAGGGGCAATTATAGAAAGTAGAGTGCTTTTTGTTCCTTCCAACTTCTAGGATTTACTTTTCCAAAAAAATTAATTTTTTGTATTAAAGATTTAGGAGTCAGTTTTAATTTATAATTATCAATATCATCCTGTGATAAAAGTAACAGAAAGAAACTAGGCAGCTCAGCCAGAGGTCTGGTGGTGACACACGCATACATACGTACACATGTACATACACACAGACATACTCTCAAGCATGTGCATACAAATGTATGTCTATACATATGTGTACACATGCTCTCAAGCACATCATATAGGTGAATACATTGCATGCATGCACACACATACACATGTGCACCTACAGACATTGAACTTTAGGGTGGTACTGTGGTAGGGCAGGGGAGTGGCAGAAAGGGCTCCGAGGTTAGCAGTGGACTTGACCGCAGGTACAATCCGAGATACAGAAGCTGGTTCTTGCATACCTCTAATAGTGATCTTCAGTGGAGGTCTATTGAAACCACCTGTTTATTGTCCTTGCAGACCTGTGTGTGGAGTGGCCGGCATCCCGTCCTCTCAGAGCGGTGCCCAGCACCATATGCAGCACTCAGCCAGCACGGCCGCCTTGCCCCACTGCTCCCACACAGGGGGTGGGGGCTCGGCACTGGCTTACCGGACCCAGATGGACACCTCACCCTCCATCCTAATGCCTTCCAATCTACAGACTCCTCAGACCCAGGAACAAAATGGGATTTTAGATTGGCTGAGGAAACTGCGTTTGCACAAGTACTATCCCGTCTTTAAACAGCTTACAATGGAGAAGGTATGTTGGCTACTAAGTGTAGAATTTGCTTGTTTTCTCAGGTAACCTGTCTTTCTTCTGACCTCATTCCTAGAGGAATTGAGTTGAGTTTTAAACTATGTGTATGTGATGTGGAAATCACACAGCCTGGTATTTTACACCTACAGATGCGTGCTCACTGGAGGGTGGCAGTGGACTGGCATTTGAAGGCTGCCTGCAGTTGAAGCAAAAACTGGAACAGGCTTGGTTGTAAACAAACAGCTTTTTTAGGCAGTTTGGGGTCTTTGAAAATGAGATATTCTGTATGGTATGAAGGATCTTATGTCTCTAGCAGTCCTGCAATAGATAGAAATAGTGAATTCTGGTGTCCCCCCATGCTCTACCCCCTGCTCTATCTTAGATGTCTTTCTATGTAGGCCTGTGCATGTGCTGAGGCTCAGCTCAGGAAGGCCAGTTCTGCAGGGGCCCAAACACTTCGGTCTACGTAAGCAGCTCTCCAATGATCCAACTTGCTTTAGGGTCATATAGCTGAGGGAATAGATGAATTTTATGTCTGTCAAGCAATCCTTGCATAGGAATTATGTTTTTTTGCAATAGTTCTGATGAGCATTTTTTCACTGTTAAAAAAATTCTGTAATTTAAGTATTGGTGTCACTGATGAAACTGAATTGGACCTTTGTACAGCGTTTGAACTCTCAGCTCCCCCTGCTGGATACAGTGACTTGGTGGCTTTTATCTATGTAAAATTTTTATTTGTCCAAAAATCTGCAATTGAACCTAGAAATCCAGTTTTTACTACATAATAAAGAACAAATTTTAAGTATATTTGTAATACTATCGGTTTAGAATTCATAGATCTTAACTTTGGTTATGGATCAGTTTTAAAAGTTTTAATCTAATGTATAAGTTGAAATGGCTAAAATCAACCAGTGTCATTTGTTTGCTTAATGTAAGGTTGGTGGGTAAATTAGCCATTCGATTTGGATGGCGTTTACTCTTCTGGATCACTCGCTACCAAAGTTGCACTTGTCCCTAAAATGATGATGATTTCAAGAAAAAAGAGCTGTTAAACTGTCCAGTTGAATTTAAGGGGGGTGTTCCAGGGAGGGAGGAGGCACTCATACAGATCGCATCTCTGTCATCACCTGTCTGCACAGCTCAGACCTTGCAGGGACCCAGTCTTCACCAGACTGTCATGAGGTGACTGTGCCCTTTAAACGCAAAACGAGCATCTTATATTTTGAACTATGGACACCAAAATATTGAGCAAGTAAATGTTTTAGTGTTCCTAAGTCTTTTATTATCTAGTTAAGTTTGACCTGTTTCCATACCTTGGAGGTAGAATACGTTTATTATACTCCAAGTTCTTTGTTTTCAGAATCCTAGTTAATTCTTAGTAACTTTGTAATTTGTTTCTTCTATGGAAGTTTCTGAGCCTTACTGAAGAAGATCTAAATAAATTTGAATCCCTCACCATGGGAGCGAAGAAAAAACTCAAGACTCAACTGGAGCTGGAGAAGTAAGTGTGAAATTGTTCGGAAATGTCTGTTCATTTTACTTTCTGACATGCTGAACAGAGAGAGACTAGGACTTACAGTGTTGTTACATATCAGTGATTGGATTACTTTTGATTGCTTATCAAACCTGATTAATGCTTTTAAAAATCTACAAATGTGGCTTCGATTTGCCAGGAAAGGCCTTTTGTAGTGAATCTGACAAATTGAAATGTGTTATTTTCCATCCTGGACACTGTTTTGATAGAGATCACCTTTGTGTAGACTGCATGTACTTAAGCAGAGTTGTGAAACATCAGGTTTTTCAGCAGAAGAATTTAAAATTCACTTGTTCCCATGCTTTCTTATTGCACAGGGAGAAGTCAGAGAAACGGTGCCTGAACCCCTCAGCCCCACCCCCGGTCACCAGCAGCGGAGTGGCCCGCGTCCCCCCCACCAGCCACGTGGGCCCCGTGCAGACAGTGCGAGGCACCCACCCTGCAGGTAGGTGAGGGCTGGGTCAGCTCTGACATGTGGATCGCAGTCTGTTCCTTTTGATAATAGACATCAGAACACACCTTTTTGGTACTAATATTTTTTAGTATTTACAATGAACTGTTCCATTATTTTAGCTTTTATAGTCCCTACCATAGGAAAATAGAAGGGTCATTTGGCTTAGAAATTGGAGACTGGTGACCCACCTGAAGTTTGGCCAAAAGAATTAGATCCAAAAACTACTATGGTGAGAGGAAAAGAGCAGGAAGTATACAAAATAGGTGAAAACATCTTTCTTCCCGAAGATGGGGCACAGAAGTCATGTTTTAGGTCATTGCCTGGCAGGTCCATCTTGAGATTCTCCTTAATGCCTAACCACCAGCCTTCCTGCTCTGTCTGGGGACTCGAAGTTTCAGTGATGTCATTTTTCAACTACCATCCCCCTCCTCCCCCTGCCTCTTCCTCTCCTCGGAAAAAGGTTGAGGACCCCTGTAACAGTTGCCCTGTTGTTTTCTTATATAGTAGAAGCAGCAAGAGTAACTAAACGAGGAAGGAAAAAATGCCAGTGTATCTTTTAAGTGGTTATTTGAGTAAAAGGTCCTGTGTCCCTCAGCCTCATAAAAACAGGGATGTTTGTGAACGACTACTTTCGTAGCACCATGCTGGTTTGGGAACCCTTTTTTCCTATTCTCCCCTGTTTGAGTAGGGAGGCATTAGAGCATCTGGCTGAGAGTACTGCTGTGTTTGCATCTGCCACATAACTAGCCCTGTGACCTTGGGCAGTTTTTTCATTAAGAACCTCAGAGCCCTGTCTGAATATGGAAATAATTGTACCTGCCTCCTGGGGGCTGACTTCAAGAAATCTGCATGATAGATGTAGCATGGAGGTGGGTGAGGAGGAGGGACCCCTGTCAGAGTCCTGTGGCACATGGACTTGGGCGCCACCTTTGGACTATCACTTGTCCCTTCTCTGCAGCGCTGCGGGTGGAAGTGGAGCAGCCACCTCACCAGACAGCCCGGGAAGGCAGCTCCTCTGAGTGCTCCAGCTCCTCGCCTAGCCCCATGGGGGTGCAGGCCCGGGAAGAGAGCTCAGACAGCGCCGAGGAGAATGACAGACGTAAGGGTGTGCGGTGTGGATGGCATGGTGCTGCTTCTGCCCTGGCCTGTGGAACTATGCTGACCTCTTTGTTTCCATGTCTAGGTGTGGAGATGCACTTAGAGGGCCCCGATAAGGAGAAGCCTGTCATGCTACTGAATCATTTCACTTCAAGTTCCGCCAGACCCACAGCCCAGGTTCTCCCCGTGCTGAATGAGGCAGGCTCCAACCCATCAGGCCACCATCCCCTGCCTCCGCAGATGATGACCACAGCCTCACACATTGCACCCATCCGAATGCTGAATTCTGTGCACAAATCAGAAAGGGGAGGCACAGACATGAAACTCCTCTCATCTTCTATGCATTCACTGCTGTCTCTAGAAGAAAGGAATAAAGTCTCTGGACCAAGAAGCAGCATCAAAGTGGACAAGAGCTTTGGCAATGCCATGATGGATGTGTTACCCACGTCTGCCCCACATCAGCCCATGCAGGTCCTCTCTGGACTTGCTGAGAGCAGCTCGGTGTCACCCACCGTCTCCTTTGGTCCCCGCGCCAAAGTTGTCCATGCATCCACACTGGACAGGGTGATCAAGCCAGCCCAGCAGCCGGCGCTGGTGGTTGAGACGAGCACCTCTGCTGTGGGGACATCCAGCACGGTCTTCCATGTGGCCCGGCCACCAATCAAACTTCTGGTGTCTTCGTCTGTCCCTGCGGATTCTGCTATTTCTGGGCAGACTTCCTGTTCTAACAATGTGCAGATCAGTGTGCCCCCTGCAATAATAAACCCTCGGACTGCTCTGTACACAGCCAACACCAAAGCTGCCTTCTCTGCGATGAGCAGTGTGCCCGTGGGCCCCCTGCAGGGCAGCTTCTGTGCAAACAGCAACACTGCCTCCTCCAGTAGCCACCCTTCCCCGTCCTTCCCAAACATGGCCACTGTGCCCAGCTGCCCGGCCCCCAGCTCCAGCCCTGCACTCTCCTCGGTCCCCGAAAGCAGTTTCTACAGCAGCAGTGGCGGCGGCGGTGGCAGCAGCTCCCCTGGGAACATTCCTGCCTCTGCTCAGAACCACCACCACCACCACCACCATCAGCAGCCGCCAGCACCCCAGCAGCCCTCACCTGGCCCACCGCCCGGCTGTGTCGTGTGCACGTCGTGTGGATGCAGCGGGAGCTGTGGCTCTGGTGGCCTGACTGTCAGCTATGCCAACTACTTCCAGCACCCGTTTTCGGGGCCGTCTGTCTTCCCTTTCCCCTTCCTGCCCTTCAGCCCCGTGTGTGGCAGCAGCTACGTGGGCACCCAGCAGTATGGCAGCAGCGCCTTCCCAGTCGTGCACTCGCCATATGGCGGCAGCGTGCCCGCCGAGCCCGTGCTGGGTGGCCAGTCCACGTTTGCCGTCCCGCCCATGCAGAGCTTCATGGCAGGAGCGGCTGGTGTGTACCAGGCCCAGGGCTTGGTGGGCAGTAGCAACGGTTCCAGTCACAAAAAGAGTGGCAATCTCTCATGTTACAACTGTGGGGCCACCGGTCACCGTGCTCAGGACTGCAAGCAGCCGTCCATGGACTTCAATCGGCAAGGTAAAGGCGGGCTGCGGCCGGCGAGACTCCGGAGGCAGACCGGCTACACTGGCTAGCAGTGCAGCTCTGCCCAGAGGAGAGGTGCAGGCAGAGGTCGCTGTTTATGAAAGTAATAGTAAACTTTCTTCTTTTTAAAGCAAAAAGTAGTTTTTCAAATGCTCTTTGAAAAAGCACGAAATTCTTAGTAGGCTGTGAAGCCCCCAGAAAGAGGGTTACTTTGGTTCTAAGACTGTCTTCATGATTTCAGCCTGCTCCTCATTCTAGAACATGATGAACTGGCGGTGGAGAGGGGCTGTCTGGCCCAGTGGCTCCTTGGTCTGTTACTTCTTCCCGTGACTGGGGAGCAGGTGTGGGTGATTTAATGCCACCCCTCCAACCTTTAACTGAAAGCCTAGGGCATAGCACGGGTTCAGATGCTACAGATGGACTCAGTGTCCCCACTTCTGTTCTCCTCCCTCCAGGGTGGCCATGGCTGTTGGTATGTAGGGGGGGGTGCATGATGTCATCTTTACTGCGCTACCATCTTCCTTCCTTCCTTCCTTCCTTCCTTCCTTCCTTCCTTCCTTCCTCCCTTCCTATTAGGAGTTTTTGTTACACGTTCTCATCTAATTTCCTGGGCTCATCATGATAAAATCCTCCAGGGAGAGGAAGGAGAAGCTGCTTAATATATGAATATATGTGAATATTTTCATTACTTCTCTATCCTCTAGAACGTGACGGTCAAGGCTGAATCCATCTAAATGACTACCTTTTTTTTTCCAATTTGGTAAAATGAGTGAAAGTACTACCCTGTCCCTCCCTCCCTCCCTCCCTCTCTTTTTTGTCTCCTTTAGTCAAATTCAAGTGTATATCTGATGTACTTATTACAGCGGGTTTGTTCTTGCTGATGGTTTTAGAAAGATGATTAAACTGGGCATTGGGAAAATTGAACCCAGCTCTGTGACTATTCACTGTGCAGCCTTGAAAAGTCACTTGATCTCTGTAGAATTGAGGGTTGCTCTGGACCTGTGATTCCCAGACCTTCCTCTGCCTCTTAGTCACCTGGAGAGCTTTAAAGACAACTTGGACTCAGTAGGTCTGGTGACAGGCGGGGGCAACTGTGTGCTGTGGCCACTCCTGTTGCTAGGGATGGTGCTGCGTCTCCTGAAGCAGCAAGCCCAGAGCCTGTGGCTCTTGACCCAGGGAAGTGTGCACACTGGAGGGCCCACCAGTGTGTGCTGTCGGAGTTCCAGAAAAAATGTCCCTTAAGTGTAAAGGAATGGCTTGGTAACTCTTTAGTCATTTCACCTTGTCTGATTTTATAAATTAATAAAATAGTCTCCAGTTTAGGGGGTGGTAATGGGGATGACAGTGGTTAGAACAGGTCTAGATTTCTAGCACCTGAATCTTGACCAGTGACTCTGGAAATAACTTTGGACAAATCGGTTGGTTGTGGTAATTCTACAGTGATTCAAATTTGATCTTTCTTTTTCCCCTCTCTCTAGGTACTTTTAGGTTGAAATATGCCCCTCCAGCAGAAAGTCTGGACTCCACAGATTGATATTTTTCTCTGGCAACAGAACACTATTAAGCCATGGAGACATAAGGAAAATTAAATACAAAACTGAGAAGTCTAGTTGCTGTTGAGCTTAATATTTTTAATCCAAAGGTGCTTTACTTTACTAGACTGGATAGGAAATATAGCATAGGAGTGCATCAAACTCAAGTTTTATTGCCAAAATTCTAGATTGGAGCTTGATGTCAGGACTTGCCTAGTGGGTATCTTCAGAGCGGGTGAAATTGCCCACCTCCACCCTTGGTTGCAATGCAGAGACCTCCCGTCTCCAGAAGAGCATTGCCGTAATTGGTCCTTCTAGGCTCACACGTAATTCCAGGGCAGCTACGCGAGATCGGAATCGAGAACTGAAGGTTGGAGTTCTCCAAGTGGAGTTCCACCAGTCGGACTCTTGACACCCCTGGGTGAGGGAAAATGTCACCTTTGTTTTGTTTTGTTTTGTTCCTGAAGTGGGTAGGCACTAATTTCTGGGCTTTTTAAGGATTGCACTACAGAAGAATGTAAACTGATGTCAGTCTCTGCAGCTCTGGGAGACAAAACTCCTAGAGACTAGTCAGTGCAAAACACTCAGAGAATCCATTTTTAAAGAGTTGGCACCAGCAGGCTATATGACTTAGTATACACAACAGAGATTTTAGTATTTACTTCCCTTCTTTAAAACACTTTTAGCAGTTTCAGGTTTTTAATTTTTTTTCTGCAAATAAATTTAAACTACATTACATAGAAATAGTTACTTGCAACAACTTAATTTCTAAGGGTCCAAGTCCCAGAGAATCCCTAGTTGTCAAAGCATTGAGAATCTCTTCCTTCCCAGCCCTTCCATAGCTTTGAGTCCTGTCATCTTGCACAGCGAAGGATCTCCTTGCAGAGACATGGTAACAGCACTGCTTTTGTGAGTTGGCTCTGATGGATGCTACCCATCCTTAGTGAAGTTTGCAAGATTTTTTTTTTTTTTTTTTAATTTCACACAGACTTCCCAAGGACCCCAAGGCTTATTACTGCTAAGATTCACACTTGAGACACACATTACAACAATACAGTCCTGTAATTTATGAGCAAAAATTTTGAAGTTTTCTCTTGTCAGTGTCTTTTGTATTAGGCTGTGTATTAATAGTTCTTTTAAAAATTACCTGTAAAACTACAGTAGAAAATGGTAAGACTCTGAAAGAGACCACAGTACAGAGCTACAAGATCTGCAGAAGTCTAGTTTTATCAAGGTGGGAAATAAAGTCCTCACCACATAGCTCTCAGTTTCACCCCATTGGAATGAGAGAGCTTTTTGGTATGAAATTTAGGGACTTAGATCCTTAAGACTAAAGGGAATTTTCTGCTCAAGTAATGTTATTTTAAATGCTAAAACCTCAGTATTAAAATATTGATTGGTAAGGCTTTGCCCGGGGCTTTTCCAATTGAATAGTTATTAAAAAAAAAAAAAAATCACATATTCAGATCATTCTTAAAATGGAACAATCAGCCTCAGGCAAAATTGGTGTAAATCAAAAGAATACCCTAGAATTTGAGGCATTGTGATATATAAGGTTTCAAATTTTGAGATTAGTTTCCTGCCTTTATGGAAACTAAAGCAGAAAGTTGTTACTTTTTTTTTTTTTTAATGACAAGGCTTTTAGTTTTTAGAGTTTTATTTTAGTAGAGTTTTATTTCTATGCAATGCAGAATTGACAGACCTCTGTAGTCTTCTCTCTTCCTGGTACACAGTATTACATACAGTTAAGCAATGGTGATGCTTACAACTGGTTTTTTGGGGAATGTTACATTGATCTCTTAAATTATAAACACTACAAAAATGTCAAAATAATGAGAACTGACATAACTTTGCCTTAAAGAGTACTAGACTGGAACTTGTCATACTATGTTAAAGGAAGACTTAGAGTGTTCATTGATGTTTACGATTTTAATATTTCCGAAGGCCGTTACAGTGGCCTGGATATGTGCTGAAAGCCAAACTTTTAAATTTTTTGGTTTTTTTTAAACAAAGAAATATTTTAAATAAATCCTATTTCAACACAGTGAACTCGTTGAAAGCTGTCTCATAAGAAAATATCATATTTAGGTTTTTTGTTTTAATGGTCAGTATCGAGGAATGAAAGTGTCTGCTGTTACCCTTCTAATTATTTTGATAAATATTAGAGGTTAGCATTAAATACAACAAAATTAAAACAAACTTCAATTCTAAGTATAACATTCACATTGAGGTAAATAAGTTCAGACATTGTGTAGCTGCGTTCCGGTTATCAAAGGTCTTAGAAAAATTCCCAGTTTCTTTGAAAGTGCGAGTGTGGTATGACATCACCAGTGAAGTCACTCCAAGTTGAGAATTGTAAAACATAAATATGAGATACACAGGACACAAAGTGCCAATCTGTGAGATCTCTTCCCAAGTGAATTGCATACTTGGACTTGGGAATATTTGCTAGCAGTATTATCTCTGATGAATTTCTCTCCAAAAGCAACCAAAGTCAGTAAGGCTAAACATTTTGCATTTCCTCAGAAGACATCATTAGTTAGAAACACAATTCAGACTGACCCTTTCAACTAATCATTTTCCTGAAGTTATAGGCTGTTTCCAAATGCTGTGGCAACCAGGTAGGTGTGGCCTCAGTCACTTTGCTCTGTGTAGTCTGTCGTATTAAAGTTTCTAACCCCATTTTTTATTTCCAAGAATGGGGAAAGTGGAATGTACAGATTGAAGTAGAATACAGTGTTGGGATGAAACAACTATTTAACCTTTTTTGTTTTTTTTTTTAAAAAGCAAAACACTCGATTTTCTACCTTATTTTCTAATTTTTATTTTATGGTAATACTGAAAATTGGCAAGTGTTTAATCATTAAAACTCCTAATTGCTGAAGAGCACTGAGGAAATGGGAGCTAGCACTTCTAATAAAAAGACATTTATTTTTTTGAAAGCAGATATGTGATTGGTATTAAAAAAAAAAAAAAAACAACCAGCATCATCTATAATCTCTAAAAGATTACAGGAGTCAGCTTGTTAATATAGTAGTTAGTAGGTTGAGTATTTTAATACACTATTTAGAATTCTATAGGTCCTTTATCACAAGAAGTCAACATAGTTAGTTTACACTACACATTATGTATGGAGGCGCAGTAGCAGTGGTAGTAACTTTGCCTAATGTCACACAGCTGTAATGTGTTTCCTGTTTGAACACAGGCTGACTGAGGCTTGCACTCGTCGTCCACTCACTCCAGTGTTTCTAGTGAGCACTTGCCGAGCGGGAATTGGGTTGCACCCTCCTCACTCCCTATCATTTCGTCACTCTTCCTGCTTCTGTGGTGGTTTATTTGATGCCTTGCTAGTTTTACATAATGATAACTAATGGTGTTATATGTATAAGAGTCTTAAGGGTTGTAAGGGAAACAGTGTCTCTGCTCAGCTCGACCACCAGTCTCAGATGGGTCTGTAGAACCTGATGCTGTCGCCCATCCTTTCCAAAGTGCAGGTGACTCCCAAAGAATGAGTCAGGTGACATTAAAAGCCATGGGTTCTGAAGAGGCTCAATTATTTATTGAAAAGTCCCAAGGTTCTGCAAGTGAGTATCTCTAATCAACATTCGCAAAATTACTGTGCTGGTTGAGGCCAAAGGTCAATGTTACTACACTGTTAATGGAGGGAGGGGAGCATCGGTCCTCAGTCCCGGGTATTGTAACAAGCCCCTCACATGCGTCAGTTCTTACACGCACAAAGACAAAGGCTTTGGTACTGAAACTGAAGACCTCGTATACTCAAGAATCTTCACAGCTTCTATTGGACATATTTTCTTTTTAGGAATGAAGGAAAATTCTCCCATTTTTGAGCCATTCTTTTGTCAATTCTACAAAAATGCATGTAACTTTATAAATATTTTTAAAAGATATAGTTTTGTAAATATTTAATATTCTGCTAATTTGATTTTGAATTGTAAATGTCAAGTATTCTGTTTTTGGGGTTTTTATGTTTTATTATACTTTGTTAAAAAGGAAAAATTGTACATTTTTAGAATGTTTTTATGAGTAAATTTAATGTACGGAAAATAAAAATTAAAAAAAAAGCCGTTTCATTTTGTTAGGTCATCTCAAAATATGAAGCACATATCTTTTCAAACAAACCACAATTTTTGGTACAAACTAAGAAGTCATTCCTGTCTTCTTCCCAGCTTTACAGAAGGGATACTTGCTCTTAATTTTCTATCAAGTTTCCCAGGCTTTAAAAAGATGTCCTTGGTATTAACAGAAATGTGAATTCTTGATTTGGGGTTTAAAGATGTTCCAGCTGTAGGTTCCATTAACAATCAAGGCTGGTGTCAGTAGATCTAAGCATCTTTTGAATGTTTCCACATGGGTGGTGAATGTGGCATGCATGTGTCATGGCATCTAAAGCTCCATCTTCTTTGGATTTGGGAGGGTGGCAATATAATGAGCATGGCTAGGACTGCATTGTTGTCCTGAGCAGTGCCAGGCACTAGGGGGAGACTCCTGGTGCCTTTTCCCCATAGAGATCCCCAAGACCTTTGGGTCTTTTCAGGCCTGTGGTTCCCTAGAGGAAAAAGAATGCATACACAATGGTTCTAGGTATGGTCAGGGCTCCTGTCAGGGAAATGACATCAGGAGACAGCTGGCCCTTCCTGGTACCCACCAGCAGCCCTTGAGAAGGAGGGCCTTACTGTTTGGTTACTTCCAGGACTTATGGGATGTCTTGAAGGAACCATGCAGGCCAGGCCCCTGAAGATGGAAGACAAGTGCACATCTGCTGACAAACTCGGGGAAGCAGAGCATTCCCTCGTTTCACTCCCTGTACTCATAAAAACATTTCAGTGCCTACTTCAATTTGAGTTGAGTCCAGAGTTTTCCAAATGAATAGCACCACTAGCCTGGGGTTTGTACTATATCTTCACCTTATGGAGCTCCGTACGGTCATCTGAGGTACCGCAAGCCATGCAATGCCTTCTTGACCACACAACACACTCCCAATTCCTTTCTTTTACTTTGTTGTTCATTTAAAGCAGGTTTTCAAGTGTTTATGCCCACAAAACACCTAGGTCTCACATCCATTCTCCTCATACTTTGTGGCATGTGAGTTTTCAAGAGATTTAGTTTTGTAAGAACAAGACCAGGTGGCCCAACCTAAACCAAGATGAGGAAGGTGCCCATGTCAAGACAGCCCTTCAAAGGTGGGTGTCCTTCCACCCAGCTGCTCCCCACCCCCGCACAGTGAAACCAGCTTGAACGTTCCTTGTTAGGAGCGGTAGTTTCTTGGCTTTGGCTAGTACAAGTATGTGGGATTGCAAGTCTCAAATACTGATCCATTAAACTGAGCTTTGATGACAGTTTTTAGTTGTGCCTTTATTCACCTTAAAAATGTACTTGTTTTAAAGATCCTATAAACATAGAGTGACCACCCACTAATGTGGGATACGTCACCCCTCTCAGCATGGTATTTTTTTTTAAAAAGCAGAATTTCTTACAGGAATCTTATCACACAGTAGTTACAAGAATGTCAGGTATGACGTATACAATCTAAACAAGACAGGCTGATTAAGAATACATAATGTAAAAATATACATATTAAAAGTTAGCCATGTGGACAGATGCATGCAGCAGGAGGAGTAGGTAGGTGATGGGAGGTTGGTGGTCGAGGCCCCATAACACAGTAATATTGCCTTATCCCCCCATTACAGTAAATAACTTCCACTATCTGATACAGGTATTCCACACATCTAAATATACAAGGGCAAATCACGACGTCGTCTAAAGTGGTTTGTGATCTTTCTGTGATACTTCCATGAAAATACGGTGAACCTCATGCTGGTAGTAAGAAGCATTGGTTATTTATTCTAGGTGGACTTGGGAAATGTTTAATTTTTGACATTAATATCTGTCAAGAGAATGTCTCCTTTTACTATGTTTTCTTCACAACTGACATGCACCTATAGTGGGGAGATTTTGATGGTGGTTTGACCTAATAGTGATAACTGAAATACTCTTAAAAATATAACTTTTTAATAACATATTAGCCACACAACATAAAACATGGATCATCTACAGCTTTAAACCAAAAGGAAGAGGAAATGCATCTGAATTTTAATGCTTTTTAGTTTCAGGATTCTGTAGTTTCTACCACTGTCCTAAAGAATGAAACTGATACAACTGCTTGTTTATTTACCAAAGCAGGCACTAGTCTGAGCTCTTAGAGAATATCTAAAACAAGAAATGTCACTCTTTTTTTCTCTGGGCATTTTAAGAAACTAGACCAAAATTGTGAATTATTCAAGGTTCCTGTTGAACAGTGGTGTTTTTCTGTGTGTTACTATTTAGAGAACAAACCAAGTAAGAACTCCCTAACACTGTAAGAGCATTGACTTGGGGTATACATATTAGGAATCAAGAACCTTGAACAGCAGTTCAGAGTTTTCTTATACACTCCCATTTACCCTGCTTTTTGCCAACTATTATTATGGCAAATGCTTTTGGAAGGGAGCTATGCTTGACAACTTATACTTAAAGATCCTCTAACAGATTTCTCTAGTTGAGTAGAAATCCTTCTATAAAAAGTTGGCAGGTTCTGTGAACCTAGAGAAAAAACTTAACATCTCTGAATGCTCAAATTGCAAGTTCCTATTGTGAAAAGAGCATTGAAATAACTTGAAGGTCTATTTTATTGGTAACTTAGAATGCAAAGTATTTTATTTTTAAACTTCTAATTTGAAAACAAGACAGCCTAGGTTAAATAATATAGTTTTCCAAAGCTGAATGTGCTCATTTGGAGCTTTTCTGTTTGAAGTACAAAAAAACAAAACAAAACAAAAACTTCCTAAATCTCCTAGGCAGGAACACTACTGTTTTGATGATCTGTGATTAGATGAACTGATCAATCTCAGTTGGTAACATCCCTTTTTTCCCCCTTGGTAAGGGTTTAAAAAATTCTAGAACAGATGCATTTTTCTAGTCTTACACCGACAATTTCATTCCAAATGTCTCCTGAGAGGCATATACCATATACAGGAATCCATCTTCATCCTTCTCACTTTCATACACTTCCGAAATTGGCGTGGACACGCTCACCATGCTGTGCCCATTCACTAACAGGAAGAAGGCTTGATTAGCATTGAGCTGTAGGCGCCTTCTATTGAAAGAAAACATGAAGAAATATTGATACACCAGTAAGTAGGGAGCATGTGTAAAAATCTCCCACCCTAATCAATTTAAAAGTATAAAGATTTTGTAAATACTGCTTCTGGCAAAATAAAGTGTCTACTGATGACTAATATTTCTTCTCACAAAGCATAGGACATTTTCTATGATTATATTCATAATCAATATTAGCGATAATCCTTGATAGGTTATTCTTACTACCTTCCTGAGGCCAGTTTTAAACTAGTATGCTATGTGAAGAACCATTAGTGTTTAATGTGAGAAAAACAGTTCAGAATATAATTTACAAACTAAGATCTAGGCTGGTGTAATTTATTACCATTCTGCCAAGCCTACATTTTTTTTTTTTTTTAAATTAACCCCCACCCCACTTCCACCACCCCTGACCTATGGATGTTGCCGTCTCCCCTTAAGAACTGGATCTCGGAAGTCGGGGCATCTCCTCCCATGAGCTCGCGGGGCACACCTGGGGCCTGGCGCACCTGAGGCATGGGTCGTGGCTCCGCTGGGGCTCAAACCCAGGACTTTCTGCGTGTAAAGCAGACGTGCTAACTACTACTCTAAGGAACCACCGGCCTACATTCCTTTTTTTTTTTTTTTTAAACTAATTTTGCCATGTAAAACTTGTAACTTCTGATTAATGGACAAATCTACACTAGATGGTATGATGAATCAGAAGGGACATGAGATCTAGCAATTAAATATAAAACTCAGAAATGAAATATTCTATAGTTTTATCAAGCTTGCACAGATTTTAATCACAACTAGACTAAAGATTTATCTATAAGTCTAATGAAGAATGATAGGTTAGCCAAAGTGGGGAAAAAAAAAGTGACAATACCTAATTATCTTGATGAGTTCACTCATGTTGACGTGATCAGGTACAAGGAACTTGGTTTTATCCAGGACAGGAAGCTGCTTCTCACCCTTGTATCGTTCTATTATCACCTAGAAAAGAAGCCAGAAAAGTGATTTTAAAATAGCCACTAACAATGAAAAATAGTTAAAATACTTCTTATGCTGTAACTGGCACAGCCGAATGGGGTTTAAAATAGCACATTTGTTAGTTTCTTCATTCCTCTCCTGTAAAGAGTGATCATTTATTAGCTTAGACTCTACCCTTACAAAATATGGTACACAAAAAACAAAGTAGCTGCCACCAGGGAGATAAGTGGGGTGGCGAAAGAAACTTTGCTATGTATTTCGTTATTTGGAATCATGAAAATATACTAATCAAAAAAAGATCCCAAGCCTTACAAGGAGAGGTTGGGTAGCAGCTTAAAATGTAAAGATCTGAATCTCTATCATTTTTAATATCACCATTTCCTGTGACATGGCAGGAGCCTTAATAAAAATATAAGGTCTCAATTATGGTAATGGATGATTTTTTTTTTTTTACACTAGAGACGTTTCTCTATTTGACATGGAAAAAAATCCTAAGTAAATATTTGACAAGTAGAGACGATGATTAGCTAGTTCTGGAGACAAATCTAATACAGAAAGACGAAGATTCTTTCATTTTGATAAAATATTTTTGCTGTTTCTTTAAAGTTAAATACCTTGAACTATGCAGGTAACAAAAACAGTTACACATTATGAAGTGAAATAAATCCATCAACTCCTTGCCATGCTTCCTTTCTGTAGACAAAATTTTTTTTTTTTTTTTAGTTCTAAGCTGCTATAAAAGCTCTAACTACAGACTGGCGATTGCTTTTGAGCCTCATTGTCATCTGCTTACTGAGCACCACAGACATCCTTCTCCATGTACAGCAAGAAGCTGTACCATCACAAGAAGCTGAGAAAATCTTTATAAGACCTGCCTGTGTAAGGCCAAGTAAAGCTGTCATCACCTTCCTGGTTAAAATGCAGAGTTTAACCATGAGGTATGTTCAAACATGATATCCACAAGAAGTATCACTGGGTAGACTACACTTGCCAAGATTTAAGTGGTAGCAGAAATCAGAGGCAATGCAGAAATCTTAGATTCTTGGCCCAGGAAGAGGCAGCAGTAGAAAAAGAGAAGAAATTCAAGACCCTAGAATCCTTCCATTAAAGGAACACAAGCAGCCTGGAAAATGTTGACCATGGATACTTTCCGCTCTAGTAGCTGAGTCTGTTCTACTTTGAAAAGAGCTGTTCTAGCTGCTCCTACTTACCATGTGGTAGTGATCCCGATGAAAATACAATCACCTATAAATAACTGATTTACTTTTCAGTTCTTACTTTATTTTTCCTTTAACTTCTAATTTGGAAGAGAAGATGTACAAGTAATGGGATAGGGCATGTGGCTAGATCTGAAAAGTGACTTCTCCACTGTTTTCACTTAGATGGAAGGGCTATGGAAAGGAGCACAGAAGAAAAAGCCACCATTGGAGAAGAGACCGGAGTGCCAGGGAGCTGCCCGTGCCTTGTCCGTCAATTCATACAACCATCCATCAGTCCTATTCTTGACATGTGAGTGCCTGTGCGAGTCTGCTTCTCAATTTGTTCATGGTGTCATAAGCACATATTTGGAAATACAAATGTGTGATTTCTGCAAACAAATCCCTGAAACTACTAGCAGAAAAAGATGACTTTTAACATACACAGATATTCACATTTCAAATGTAAGCTGTGGAGCAAATCTTGGCAGACTGTCAGGCTGGCTATTTTTTCTCAATGATTAGTACCCTCTAGCAAAAAGACAGCAGGCACTCAAAAGTGGGGGGAAAAAAAAACAAAAAAACCCACCTTAAAATGAAGGATATTTCCCAGAAGACACACATCCAAGCCATATACTGACCCCAAGTGTGAGGACAGATTATGAAATTTCAAACCAGTCCAAGGAAAACAGGGAATATCTTTTACTGTAGAATTCCACAGTTGTGAAACGGCTGAGCAGACCCATCTTACTCTGTTTTCTGTGCACCTTACAGCCCAACCCCATAGATCTTTTATCTTCTTCCCCCTCACTGGTATGAGATGACTAGTCAGAAGACCAAACATGACAGCTTCTACAGAAGTTTGCAGTGGAGTTTCTTTATAAGTGGTCTACAGAATTTGTAGGAGGTAACAACCATGTACCCAGAATTATGCAAATCTTTCCAACAACCACATGGGATGGATGGGGTTCTCTTTTCATTTTACAGATGAGAATGTGGCAGCTCCTCTCAGAATTTTAGTAACTAGCTCAAGATCATTCAGTAACCTTGAACCAAGGGCCTGAACTTTGCCTCTATCTAAAACCAAAAGTTCCTTTTGACCATTTCTCTCTAGACCTAGTTAGTGACTCAGCAGAAACCTATTTAAGGTCTACCACCAAAGGATTCAGGGCAAAGGATGCTGTTGGCTGGGTACAGCAATAAACATTTGAGGCCCTTACACATGACAAGAAAAGAGTAGTGTTTTTTCTTCCATCTCCTGTGAAGAAACCAAATATAAGAGACTTCTCTGGGGCATCAAAAGTCAGGCAGACTGGAATGTGCAGTCATGTTTAAATCCTGAGAACTACTAATTTTCTCACAGCAGTAGTCTTTGCTTTCTTTAGAAGACAGTAGATATTTCCTTCTATTGATTAAATACTAAAAGTTGGAGTCCCTCTATCCCTGTGCCCCCAAATACGTTTGATTTGTAAGGTAACATTAAGACAGCAAACTCAGACTTAGGCAGCAACAAAATGCAATCAACAAACTCTATTAAGATGTCTCAGTTTGCTGGGAGTCAGGAGGCCTGGCCCTTCTCCCTCAAGCTCTGCACCCCGACAGGTGCACCGCGCCACACCTTGCCAAGGAAGATGTCTCAATTCCACGTCATGAAACTGACAGGCAATTTCATGTGAAAATGAATTTCTAGGAATCGTATGTCTAAGGATTCCTGTAGAAACCTGTCAGGTAATTCCATATAGCAGTGTTGTATTAAAGTTGTACTTAAGCCGTGCTCTCTTCTTTGTACATACATTAACCACTGAAACATAGGTACCTGAGACTACCTACCGGGATTTTGGTTGGATGCTGCTCTCGGATAAGTCGGACATCTTCTACTCTTTGTTCTGCAATGAAAGGAAGAGGCGTAGGCATTATTAAGGGACCAAATGCAGCTTCTTTCTTGCATTTTTGCTGGTGACTTCCATATCTGAATTCACCTATCCTTAGCTGTGGCAGCGCAAAACAGCAAACATATCGTTTTTAGAACTGAGAGAAATCAAGAACTAACACTTCATGTCTGGTAAAGGTTGGTATGCAAGGTCCAAGGCAATTACATGGAAACTAACATTCAATTACATGGTTCTATGAAGTGGTATGACATAAAACCAGGGATACAGAATTCCTAGTTTTAAGGGTTTGGGACCCCAAGTTCATAGTCATATGTAATCCTCAGATTAACTGCATGGAATTACCAATCTCCTCCAAGGACTCCTACCGCCCATCAATTTTTGTGATTTTTTCACAGTTTAAGTTGGTATACAAATCCATTATAAACCATAGATCCTTTGAGGCAATTTTCTTATTACTTCCAGCTTTTTAATGATATAATGCTTAAAAGAAACTGCCTAAGAAAAAGGAACATGGAAAAAAAGAATGCCCATTTGAGTTTTAAGTAGTTTTGCTCAGGTGCCCAAAATAAAAGTTTAAAGCACAAAGTCTACTGTTGAATACTTTTTTGAGAATGTCTCTGTTCTCCTCCTTAATATAATCACTTATTTATACTTTTAACAACTGTACTAGAGTCTCTGGGGAATATAGGAGAAAACCAAGCCAAGTCCAAATTCAATAAGGTGACAATATAATTAGACCGACATGTCATATATAAAGTAATATGTGAACCTATAATTAAGATGACATTAATTAAAACCTTCCAATAAAAAATTAACAAAATCCCCTTGATTTATTATGGTAGGATTCATTCTCATGATGTTTGCAAATAAATGATCAGTATCATAAACTTCCTGAGAAAGTGCTTATACTGGTGGCTCCAGAAAAAAGATGCTATATAAATATGAATTTATTTGAATATCATTACCAATTTAGTTTGGACTTAAAAAAACATTTTAGTATTCATCATAAAAAGTATTAAAATACTTCCCATGTTAAAATATGAACATATAAGTTCTATTTCTATTTTCCCACCCAACATTTCTAAATCAGTTTCTAAGATAAATTACTAAATATAAACAAATTTGCTATAGATAAAGAAGACTGCAAACTCATGGATTTCTAACAGTGCATATTCCTATTCAATGCATGAGAAAGATAAATTGAGCTCCTGTAAATAATAAATTTAACCTAGCAGTTTTCATCTGTGATACTGTGATTTATAACAAGAAATATATTATTTGGTCCTGGCACAGAGATCCCCCAAACCTTAGAATTTTCTAGGTGATATGAGTGATACAGATGTCTGTTATTTATAACAAGCTCCTTTTAATCACACCTGAGTTAACGTTGAGGCGACTGTGAGATAGCCTCTAAGGGTAGGGTTGCCAGGGGAACCAACCACTTTTAGAGGGCTGGAACTTTTTGCCCCACCTCAACTACCATGGAGGGGAAGCGGGGAGGAGAGGAGGAGGGCCGGAGGGCTGGACAATTACTCCGATGGCCAATGCTTTAATCAGTCATGCCTATGTAATGAAGCTTTCATAAACACCCAAAAAGACAGGGTTTGGAGAGCTTCCAGGTGGCACACACTAATCATGGGGACAGAAGCTCCTGTGCTCAGGACTCTTCAGGACTTCACCCTATGTATTTCTTCATAGGCCTATTCATTCACATTCTTTAAAATACCTTGTTATAATTCAGTAACCTAGTAGGTAAACGGTTTTCCTGAGTTCTGTGAGTCATTTTAGCACCTTAATCAAAGATGAGGGGTTTGTGAGAACCTGATTTATAGCCAGTTGGTCAGAAGCACAGGTAACAACCTGCACATGAAATCAGAGGTTGAAGTGGTAGTGGGGGAGGTGCAGTTTTGTGGATCTGACACTATCACCAGGTAGACAGTGTCAGAATTGAGTTAAATTGTAGGACAACCAGACAAACTGCTTCATGTGTGGAAAACCCACATGTCTGATGTCAGAAGGAAGGAAGTGTTTAGTACTGAATAGAGGAGACATACAGAAGGAAGATATTTTCCTTTACATCATCCTTTGAACCCTCCTCTATTTCTGAGGCTGTTGATTTCTCTTCATGGCTCTAAGACCAGTCCCTATCACTGTCCTACCCCAGAAAAAGTGCTCTACCATCTAGGCTTAGCTCTCCACAATAAAAACTTCCATTTAGTCAGGGCAGATTATTTCAGAGGTTAAGGGAAATACAATTTAATTCACTCTAGCAAATTAATGATAACTTTTTAATATACTCTGGAATATGTTCTGCATTTAAAAGCTTACCCTAATAAATCTAAAAAGTAAGTGGAAACATTTAAGCAGAAGAGAAAGAGATTTTTTTTATATACAATTTAACATTTATTTTGGTAAATGAAAAGGGAAAAAACAAAATAGGCTCTAAATGTGAGGTTTCCAAGTCAAACTACACTGTCAAAAGTTTTATCTTGATTTATCTCCAAAATATGGCCCTAAAAGACAAAAATGATTATTTTTATTAAGGATAAATGACTTCCTTAAGATGAAAAGAGTAGCACCAAGTCCCATAGGAATGTCTTTAGTGTCTTGGCCAGTTGCAATGAAAATCAGTGGTGAGCCTGAGGTAATTGAGTAAATATGGTATATGCTGATGCCTCATTCTTTTTGAGTAGACAGTTATTTTAAGAGGCCAATCAACAGTACATTTGATAGGAGCACATCACCAATAACACAGATCAAAGGCACATAAAAAGAGCAATTTTTTAACTCAACTATTTTCTTAATGCTGTAATAATCTGTTTATCATTTGTCTTCCTCAACAGAGTGCCCTTGGCAGTCAGGGACCCAGCTCTAGTCATCTCTATATTCTCCCAGGGGTCAAGCTTGTACATGGAAGATGGTTAATAAAAAAAATGAAAGCTGTAAAATGGAAATACTGATCTAAATGCATATCAAAATATACTTATCCAGATTCCTTTTCTCCTGTCTCTAAGAATCCTTTAAGCTTTACAAACAGATAAAAATAGAGGATAGGAGTCTAAAGTGTCTTAGTTTACCAACATATCATTTGCAAAGTTGCTTTGAGATTCCTTGGGGCATTTAAAGTAAAACTTCACCTACATACATTTTCCAGGATTTATTTCACTGAATGAAACAGAAGCATATTTTCCCCAATCTACCTACAAATCATAACTGTAATATCCAATCCATCAATGAGTGATGACTTGCTAAGTTAATGGGATGCTACCTAGATTTTGGCATAAACCTCACCAGTCTACCTATTAGAGTAGTTGGAGCTATTTATTCTAGACCAATATATGAACTTCCCCGAGACATGCAAAACCTTTCCTTATTAATGGAGAAGCTTAAGACGAATGTTTACCATTGAATCTCAGCAGAACAGTGTCTAGGAATTGGATCTGTTATTAAATAAACTGGGCAACCCCAGAAGAAAATGGAGTGAACATTTGAGAAAACTGAATCCAAAATTGTTTGATCAAATATAACTTTTGAAGTTCATTATATTTTTAAAAATATCTGCAAGGATATACTATGCCTTCTGACTCAGAGTATTGATCTACTTCATGTAGTGGAAATGACGGCTACCTACCAGAGAATGGAAGAATTCATGTCACAAGGTTAAAAGTACAAGTCCAGACTCTGCCACTAGGTGGACCATAATCTTCACCTCCCTGGGCCCCACCCAGTTTCTTTGGCTACAAAAGGAAGGGGTTGTTTTGGGTGTGCCCTAAGATCCATTTATTTCAACTCTCAATCCTTGTAGAAGATATCAGCAGAGCTATATTCAACTTAACCTAAATTTACTCACTTGGAAAGAAGGCCTGCTCTAGCTAACTGGGGCTGGTCCTAGGTTCTTTAAAAAGGTTTTTGCCAAAGACTTGATTTTCCTCTTTTACTGTGCTACAAATCTCTAAAAATTGTCAGTGCTGTTACGATAAGCAGGAGCAAGGAAAGGCAGTAGCCATTAAAAGATAACTGATAAGTTTTCTACAAAATTACTACTAAAGAGATCTGTAAAAGGAGGAGAGGGCAGTTAAGAGGAAATCCCAGATACAATATATATAAGATATATATGATACACTAAAGGGGGAAAAAAAATGGGC